AAAAATTTGTTTTCTTCATGTTCGCAAATGAGAGGTAGCCGAATCAACTCTATTGAATTTTATAATTAAAAAAATCGATTCGGTATGAGAATTGGCTAAAAATGCATACTTCTCTTTAATGATCAAAATTATTGGATTTTGGTCTCGTGGAGGACAGGTTTTCAAAAAGAAATTTTGGCGATTCTATAATGAGCCCTCTGTTACATGTTGTCTATTTATATACGCATCTTACTAACTAATTGATGTAAACATTTCCAGAGGTTTTTTACGATGAATTTATATAACTAGTAAATTATGCCAGAGCCGCTTCTTATTGTTTGGTTAACGAATCAGATAAGCAGTGACAAGGAAAATTTGCTTCATTTGTGCACTCTTATCGGTAACGATAATCTTCAAACATATGACAATTCGGACGAATGTATTAATTTTATAACCGATATTGAAGAGATTTCCATGAAAATCTATCTGATTATTTCGTTATCATCACTAAGCGAAGCGAGTGAAATATTCATAAACACAATTGAATTATTACCAATAATCAATTCAATTTACATTCTGTGCTCAACTACCCAATTAGCTTCAATTTCTTTTGCAACTGCTACTAAAATGCATGGAATTTATACCAATTATCAGTCTTTAATTAGTCAACTACTGCGTACAATAAGCGTTCAGAGATTTTATTACAGGCGTTTTGCCAGTGATGATTTTACTCTAGCTACAGTAAAGCCTTTATCAACTGTTTCAGTCACTACATTTGAATTTTCTTCATTAACCACTGACACAACTACCAATGTGAAGAAGCAAGAAGCTGAATTTATGTATTCACAGTTGGCAAGAGAAATTTTAATTTCTACGGAATCAAATAAGACAGAAATGCTTGAATTTTGTCGTCAGCAGTACGCTGACAATAATGTACAGTTACGTTATATTCAAGAATTTGAAGATCATTACGATTCGCATAAGACTATCTGGTGGTATACGCGTGATACATTTCTCTATCGTGTTCTGAATAAAGCATTGAGAGAACAAGATATTGATGTCTTGTATTCACTGAGATATTTCATTAGACATCTTCATTTACAATTGAAAGATTTTCATTCTAAGCAAACATCAACCAATACAACTATAGAAAACGAGAAACTGATCACTGTTTATCGTGGACAATTAATTAAAAACGAAGAATTTGAACGTAAAATACGACATAATCTTGGTGGTTTTCTCTCTGTAACTAATTTTCTGTCGACGACAATAGATAAACAGCTAGCTACTGTGTTTGCTGGTTATGGTGGTGAAGATGACACACAAAGTATTCTGTTTCAAATAGATATTAATCGATCGGTAAAGAAATTTCCCTATGCTAATATCTCTGAAGAAAGTGTATTCGGTGAAGAAGAAGGAGAAATTCTATTTACAATGGGTTCTGTCTTTCGTATACTTTCAATTCAACCAATTGACACTAATATGTGGTATATACATTTGAAACTAACAGGTGAAGAAGACATAGAATTAATGAATTTAATTGAGTATATGAAAGGTGGTCTTGATGAATTTACGCCTGAAATTCATTTAGCAAGATTACTATTCGAAATGGCTCAGTATAGTAAAGCAATAAAATTTTTAAACATGGCTATGCAAGACTCACAGCTTATGGAAGATTTTATTGTACGTATTTATATTTACAATGAACTCGGAGACATATACAGCGCAATCGGGAACATAGATAAATCTGAAGAATACTATAGAAAAGTGCTCGAGACAGATCTGACACACTTGCCGGAACATCATCCAGTTGTAATGGTAGCATATAGTATTCGAGCTCAACTACATGAAAGAGACGACGATTTGGAACAGGCATTATTCTACTGTAATAAAATATTGGAAATAAGTTTGGAATATCCCGAACAAACTAAATCTTGGGATGCTTACAATGACTATAGAAAGATCGCCGTCATCTATAAAAAACAGAAACATTACTCAGAAGCAATGGAAATGTACCGAAAAACTTTGAAGATTTAATTAAAAACTTTGCCATACAATCATCCATCATTTTCTATAACTTATCGATCCGTCGCAGAACTATTTTCTATACAAGAAAACTATGAAGAAGCAAACCAATTTTTACAAAAAGCATTAGAAATTCAAAATAATTCACTGTCACCGAATCATCCTGATTTTATCGAAACATACAGTGCTTTATCTGTATCATACTATAAACTAGATAAATTTGAAGAAACTTTAAAATATGTGAAGAAAGAAAATGAATTACGAATGCAACACTTACCAGAAATGAAATACTCGAATGCAGATCATTCGAAAAAAGAATTTCAGAAGCTAATTCAAGAAACAAATGAATTGTTAGAAATTCTTCAACAGAGAAGAGAATACTCCTCCAGACAATAGCGAGCGACTTAAATCAACATGAATTTTATTTGCAACAAATATCTACAATAGCCTTTCTGCTTGTCAATCATTATTTAACTTGTAAACTCTCTAATAAGTCTTTATTCTTTTTAACACATGTTAAAATTAAATGACAAGGTCACCTTTCTATGATTCAATAGAGAGTTTATCGAGTTAACAAGAACTTTCTATAGTTGTCGATAAGTTTATATTTATATTTAAATCAGACGTCCTATTGTCAGTACAGGCTATAACATTTATATTTCATAGACTTCTTAACATTTTTCTTTTTTTATAGGTATGAGAAAATTATATTTTGTAAACAAAATAACATTACTTCTTAGGTTTTTTCTAATAGATATCTATCGATTAGAAAAGATCAGATAAGATCAAAATTATGTCTGGTGCTGCTCCCGCCGCTACAAATGATATTTCCACAAAATATCATACGGTAACAATTTATGCAAACCTTTCAATAGTTGACAAGCAGTGTCCTTGCAATAAGCCCGTAGATCTTCCACCTATACTCTATTAGAGGAATCAAATGAAATTGGGAGATTTTCCAGAACTTTATAGGCCCAAACATATCATGGCTAATGATCCATGTGAGTAGAAGGTAATTATCGCCAAGAAGGAACATATTTCTTTGTGCTTAGACACATCATTAAGTGAGAATTATGCTATTTTTTTCTGCTTTCTTTTATGGTTACAATTCCCGTGAAGACATTGTTCTGTCTCCTGTTGATATTTGGCTCATGATTTGCATCTATTTTTTTTTTGAATATGTTAGTAAAGACGCTAAACACCGTCGTTCATTGTTTGTTGAACATGAAGATGAGATTAAATTGAGTGCCGTACAAGTAGATCAGATCGATCAGAAAACGAAAAAGCTACAACATTTTTGCTATGTCTATCAAAGATTCAAATAGTTTTAAGAGCTATATCGATGGCCTATTGCCAATCCTAGATCGATTCATTTAGATTTATCAAGGAAATGTTGATAATAAATTTTGGAACACAATCATGGATATCGAGCATGTAGAGGAGGAAACAAAAATGTAAGTTTCTACTTCCTTGAAGAGTAATATTTGTCATTTGAAGTAGAAAAAATTTTGTACAAACATTTTTGTTCATCAAAATTTTCAGTCAAATAAAAAGCAATATATCAACATCGTTTTTCTTATTTCAGATGATCTGTAAAGAACATAAATGGTTGATTTCTTCGACTATATTATGGCCTACATCAAAATAGAAAATGTCATATGGATATGACATACAACTCAATTCAATTGGTACATTCGTCGAAGTGCATAACAGAATTACTAATAAATCGAAAAAATACCATGTAACTGGGAGCTTTCATGAAGTACAATCCTATGATGAATGTTATAAACCTGTAATAAGACTTGTCATTATCGATAAGTAACAAGTTTTCAAATAATAAAAGATGAACGATGATATATCATTTATATTTGTCTATTTTAAGAAGATCGAATATATTGGATAGATCTGTATTTGTAATTTTCTTATTTTATTTAAAAATAATTACTAACTATATACAAATAATAAGACATATTCTAAACAAATCAATTTCTACCACCATAAATACAAATCACGATTAATATATTTAATAAAATATTGATCAAGTAAATGTTCTAATCCAATTAAAACATCAATTTCTGTTAAACATATTTTATTATTACTTTTTGATAATATATATCGTGTAATATGTTTAATTTCTTTTCGATTTATTCCAATTTTAAGATATTCTAATTTTGGAAATAAATTAACAATTATTTAAATTAAGTCTAATGTACATAATGATTTAATATCTAAATTTTTTATTTTATTTGTTTTTGATACATATTCAAAAGTATCATTTGGTAGATTATTTTCATTGTAATTTATAAAATTCCATTTTAATATATGAATATTTGGTAAAAAATGTAATAGATTAATAAGTTGTTGAAAAGAAAAATAATAACAATCAATTGTTAATTTAGTAATTTGTTTTAAAGGAATAATACGATTAAGAATTATTGAATTTGAATCATCAGATATATTAAAATAATATTTAATTGTCAATTGAGTAGCATTTGAAAAATATTTTATACAATTATTTGCTGTTTTTTTATTACAAATATAAACATGTTTAACAGAATTTAAATTCATTTCTTATATATGTGAACAAAATTGATTAACTATTTCCAAATAAAATGTATAATCTTTTCTTCTAAAAATAAATAAAAAAAAACAAACTATAACACAAAAACTATTCAATCGATTTTTACCGATATGGATTAGTTGAATGAAAAATTCCACAATCTAATCAACCTTCATAATCATGTTGATGTATACAAAAACCATTGTTTTTCAATTCAAAATGATGATATAAATTCTTTAATTGAATTATGATATATTAATGGATTATTTCGTGCAGAACTATCATGATTTATATCAAATACACGTAAATTTGGCATAGATGATGATATTAATTGTTCCTATTGTTTTGCATTTAAGTATGATTCATCAGCTTTTGTCGTAAGACGTAAAACTTCAATATAATGAAAGAAATCTTTTATAATTTTTTCTACTTGATTAAAACTAATATAATCAAGTTTGAGTGAAACATATTTTAAATGTTCTAAAAAATTTGTATGCGAATTTATATTTGTAAAAGTACATTTAACAAGACCATCAATTGATAAACGACAAAGTTGCGGAAGACAAAATAATAAATTATTAAATGAATCAAATCGAATACGACTATTAATTACAAAATGTTCTATAGGACTATATTGATATTTATGAAAAATAATAGGTAATAGTCGTTGTTCATCTTTTGTTTGATATGTTAAATTGCACTATTTTAATTTCGGTAAACGAAATATATGATAAAAAAGTGTACTTGGACTTTGTACATATTCAATCAGATTGAGAACTAATGAATGAAATTTGGGTAAGAGAATTAAATGATGGAGAATTTTATAAAGATATTGAGCTTTAATATTATCAAGAATTAATGTTTCAAGATAAATAAATTTTGAAATAATACGTGATGGTGAGAAGATAATATCAACTGTAAATGGATTTAATAAACGAAGTGAATTAATTTGATGTTGATTTGGAAGAATTATATTTATATGATAATGGTGAAATTTTGATTTTGGCATTGTTAAAATATTTATTTTAATTAGAAGTGTTGAATGAAAAAGTAAATTTTGAAATCGTTTGTTAAGATTAATGAATCCTTTATAAACATAATAAATATCAAGATATTCAAATATTTCATAAAGAATTTCATTTGTTAAATCTTCGAATAGAGATCTAAATCAAATAAAAGATAAGAATTATATAATAAAATAGATTTTTCAAATAACTACTGAACTTATTTCGATTGATTGTTATTACTAAAACAAAATATAAGATTTATTAAATGTAAACATAAAAACTTACTTTTATCAAATAATGTTCTTTTCTTATTAATACTATCATCATTAAATATATTATTTCGTTGTCGTTTTGTTCGTATCATGTTTAAAATGATAAATAAGAAGGTTAATATTCATCCAGAAAATTGTTTTCGAACTATATAACAACGAAAAGAAGAGTACATGTACACATGGAATAACAAATATATTGTCTCTCTCTCTCTCACTCTTATCTATCGGCAATGAACAGAATAGATAATGATATTTTGTATTTAAAAGACAAATGAATGTTAATTAATATAATAAGACTTTTTCATGAGATATTTTACTCTTAATAATTACTAAATGATGAAAGGAATAATGCATATTTCATAACACTACTTAAAATCTGATGAATGATTTTTAAGAAATTAATTTGATCAGAACATTTTCAACATGAAGGAATTATAAAACATTCTATAGTTTGAATTTTATTTGAAGAGTATTAAATATATTATACTTTTATTTTCTGAATCATTTTTAGTCAGTTTTCTAAAAAGATTTTTTTTTTCTCGAAAAAGAAAAATACAACACAGTGATTATTTCCATAGAAATTGCTAACATTATGGACTGAGTATTTCGAGTAGAATGTTCATAACTTCTGAACAATTAAAGTTGAAAAATCTGGATTATGTGCAGTTTTGTAAATCTTCGATCGGTGGTTCTAATGCACTCATGAACATTGAAAATTCATTGTGATGAATGGACTCATGGTACATTGCTTATCAAAAACTTCGATTAACAATCATTAGGTTATTTGCCGGGAAAACCAGTAATAGGACGATTCGAGACGTCTTCAACTATTCTTTCCAATGATGAAACAATGCATATAGAAGTATTTAATGTACACGTATATGTAATATTATTACATGGCTCCAAAATCGAACATGAAAAAGCGGATGCACAAGTGCTAATATTGTTGACTGTACGATGGTCGAAGTAAGGCGTAAATAATAAAAGACAGCTATTATTATTACTTATGCTTACACAACATTGTTGTAAAGAACAGTTTGTATAATATCTCATAGTTTTTCATTTTTATACGAATTTCAAGCAAAAGCTTGAATTGTAGAGTGAAAATTTTTCTAGAAATAACCCTATATTTCGGGTATTATACCAGCGAAATCTATCTGCAATGAATACTAACAACATCAAAATCCGTTTCAAGAATCATTGGAATGTTATTCATTCTACTCTTGTCGACCAATACTTTCAATTCGACCATTCTATTTCGATGTTTACTATCATTGGGTACATATTCTTTACTATCCTATTGTATAAAACCATAGTACTATACGCACATTATCGATACAGTGGCCTATCCACTTGCTTCATAGTTCGGTGCTCGTTAGACAACTGTACCAACATCTATGAGTATAATACGTCCATTGTCTGGCTTTATTCTTTCGCCTTTCATAATGATCATTACTTCATCGTTGTGTATTCATGAATTAACACTGACGATCCTATCAAAATAGAGTAACAAAATGACAAAGACATGCTTCAATTTGACAAGATTGTGCAACTGGGCTTAATCTTCAGCATTATTTCTATTGTGAGAACGAGTGTTGTGTGAAGAAAACAGTCATACTCTCTTTCAGTTCTCTCACGATAGGTTTTTTTTCTATCCTATGTTCGAATATATCATTATGGCATACATATGATTATTATCAAACGTGTTTTACTTTTCAAAACAGAAGACATGGCAAAATCTCATTATTTCAATCGAATTATACAAATCGGAAGGGAATACTTTCATGTCACAAATACCTTTGACAAAAACAAAACAAAACAAAGTTGCTTTGACGAGTTTTGAAAGCCTATTCTGCAATACAGAAGTACGCTTTCCCACTTAGGCACTACACTGATTCATAAAGATTATGCTATCACTGCTACTCATTTTTAGTACAACGAATCCTCCAGATATTAATTTAATTGATGGTATGCATAATTGGCCACAACTATACAAGTCTCAGCTTATTAAACATAAACTAAGTGTATTACTGGACTAAAAAACGATAAATATGAAAATCAATTCTGTTTGTCACCTTTATTTTTAATTATTAGCTGACAAACATAAAGAAAAGAAAAAAGACAAATATAACAACAACAACAAAAAAATAGAGAACAATGAATCAGGTCATTTCGAACACAGACAGAAATTTGAACAAAAAAAAAAAAAAGAAATATTTGAATAAAATAATTATATAAGAAAAGAATTCTATTAATTGTTCATTTAACTTTTTTTTTTCTTCTTTAAATGACTTATTAAAGATAAATGAAAGAAAAAAAGAAAATAATAACTAAGACACAGGTTAATATACATTTGAGAAATTATCTCATAAAAAGAAAAAGAGAAAAGAATTAGAATTTGCGTAAGTTTGCATACACCGAACAATCTCAATCCAATTTTACCAATGATCTTCACAACATCACATACAAGAGATGTGAGGGGAAAAAAAAGCGTAAAAAGAATAAAATACAAGACAACACACAGTCATTCATCTACATGTAAGACAACGACTAGAAAATTAAATTCAAAATGAAACATAAATTCACATACATATAAACATATATACTCATTGATTTAATTAAAATCCATTTGTACCTATAACACTACCAACTGTTTGTCCTTGTAATGATGGATGAAAGACTGGTTGTGATGATTTTGAATGACGTGTTACTGCCTTATGTGATGACATATTACCAATATGAATTTTTTGCCAACATCGTTGACAAAAATAATCGAAACAAGCAAAATTTCGACAAAATAAATCACCAGCAGCTATTTTACATACTGAACAAAATCGATATTGTAAATGTGGTTCAATTTGTAGACGTTTAAGAAAACGTGGTGTTCGAACATCGACTAAATAATAAACAAAAAAACTAAATTACAATATTCTACCTAAAATTTTCTTTACAGTTTCGTAGTAACTTCAGACAGCACGAGAAGATTCTGAAACACTATTCACCTTTCTCTGGCAACAAAGTGACATAAGCAGACGAGGTAAATAGAAGTGAGGAAGAGCGGTCTGGTAGCAGGTCGTCTATTGTAGAAGACATCGACAACCCTACTTACTATAAATAGACTTCCCCCTCAAAAAAGTCACATTTCACCAGAATCATCAAAATTGAAATATCTATTCGAAAAACAAGCCATTTTATAAAATTTGTTTTTTTCTCAGAACGTGGATTCAACGACGTAGCGCCAGCAGAAGTCTATCATAGTAAAGGATAAAGTCAAATATTTTCTTTTGTATGAAAGCTTGTGTTTACGGCTAGCCTTCCCCTCCTAACCCTTTTTTTAAAAAATAATTCTTATTATCATATAAGAAAATAGCACAATTTTTTAAGTCATTAAACTTATAATCCCTTTTCTTCGCTTCCCAACATTTCCCTGAAAGTTTCATGTAATTTGGATGCTGCTGAACTGAGATTGATTTTTGAAGAGGGCCTTAAGTTACAGTATTGTGCGATGTTTATCTTCAACTATCGAGGGCACACAGCCAACTGTCGAACGTTGTACCTACGAATAGGTGTCGATAAGACTAAGACAAGCTTCAAAGGATTCAGATCAATGCCCTATTGATAGAGTTATAGTCGTTTAAATGAAAATGAAAATGTCTTTCTCAAGATATTCGTCTGCCTTATCGAATGCCTTTTACGGTTGTCTTAGTCTCATCAACACCTATTCGTAGGCATAATACGAAGTCAAAACAATGTCATCTTATAATAATTAGCTGTTACTTATACAGTAATCCACACTAAGTCAATAAAAAAATTTCTAGGATCAATACAAACATTTCATACTGTGTCAACATCACTTACCAAAAGCTGTTGATACTGCATGAAGAAAACTTGAACTATTATCAAATGTAACTCGACCACTACCAATTCTACAAAAAACAAACAAACAATATAATATTATCAATTATTAAATATTTTTTCTTTCATTAATTACGGATATTTATATTTATCAATATCAACTCCAGCATAAACAGCTCCACCAAATAAATCTTCCATTAAACGCCATAAATATTTAGCTGTCATTGTACCATGAAGATTACCAACAAATATTGTTTTTTTTGAATCAAGTTGTTGTGGTGGTCTAAATAAAAATTAATTTTATATATATTTTAAATATTTCATATATAAATACCGTAATGCATAATTATTATCTCCAATATTCCATGGTATAACTTCAACTGTTTTTCTTGAACCGGTTGCTGTTTCAAAATGTATAAAATAATCTGAACATGCATTATTATTTGTTTGACGTGAACAATTATCTAATAATGCACATACAGATTTTGCATTATGAAATATAATATGAAAAAATCCATTATCACGATATTGTTCTTTATTTATACCATGTAATTTAGGCCATTGAATTTCAAATATACCAAAACGATCAAAATTAGCATGAATATCAATTTCAGTTGCAAAACGTGGTACACCACCAATAAATACTTTTTGTGAAAGTAATGGAATTTGTTGAATATTATTTATATCATGTGTTTGTTCAGTTGAAAAATCACCAATCCAATGACGAATATTTTCTATTGTATCATCTTGTTGTGTTTTTATAACAGATTGTTGTTGTTGTTGTTGTTGGTGGTGTTGTGATGTTGGTGTTATTGAAAGTAACCATGGTGGTCGAATATTTTCATCATTTATATTTGAACTAAATGGTAATATTTCATTATTAAATGAAAATGGAAGAATTGATGATGAATTTGTTGTTCGAGGATGACAATCATTTAAAACAAGTTGTTGAAATGGTAATACACATGATTGTTCAAATGACATTATATTTGATGTATTACGTAGAATATAATCTTGAAAAGGTTGTTTCTGTTCTTGATCGAAAATATTTTCATCTAAAAATTTAAATATATCGAAATCAACTATGAATATATGACCCATGTACATAAAATAAACATGATTATTATAGAGAGTTGCAAGGCCTTTCAGGCTACAAGGTTTAGTTTTTTGCAGGTCCGAACTCACACTTCCCTAATCTTAGGATAGGAATAACGACAACTGCTGTTACAGTGCTCATCTAAAAATATTCTCCGTAAAAGTGCAATATCCCTACAACAATAAGTGACGATATTCATAGCTTAGTTCGATCTAAATGATGGATATAGTCATGACTTCTGTGTCTTTGTAATTCATATGAAAAGAAAATTAAAATTATATGATTTCTAGAAATTTTACTTGAAAATATTTTTTTATGATGACTTACTTAATATAGTTGAATTAAGTCCATTACTATTTGTTGTTGGCCATGTTGAAATAAATTCTTTAGTATTATTTTTCATTGGAAATGAAAAATCATTTCGTGGACAACAATTAACATCCATAGTTAATAAAATTTACAAAATAAAATATGTACTATGTAAGATTATAAAGAAGAGAAAAATGCTGTATTATATATATATATATATGTATGTATGTTTATGTTGTTTAATAAATGACTGACTGATTTTTGTTTTCGAACTTTTACATGTATATATTTTCTTTTTCGTCGGTCGAATAAAGAGAAAGAAAAGGAAAACAACTATTTAGTAAAAATATGGATCGTCCGTTTTGCGTCGACGAACTAGTTCTTGGAAAAGAGAAGAAGAAAGAAAGAGTGTAAAGAAATATGACCGAGGTCATTGATCAGTCATTCGATAGTTTCCTTTTCTTTTTTTTGTTTTGTTTTTATTATTGAACAGACGTTCATTGATATCCTGCGTGTGCGACATGTAGAAAGAAATATATTGGATTGAATATATAGATACGCGATGAGAGAACGAATGTAAGAAGGAAAAATGTGTGAAATAACACGACAAGCCAATTGAGATTGTCATGTTATTATAGAGGAGGGAGGGCAGCTGCTTGTCGTTTTACGATATACCACTTCTCACATTAACACTAAATTTTATATGTATACAAATCATGCAATTGAAACTAATAATATACGTAAAAAGAAAACAATGAAAATTTTAGATAAATCTATTGATAAAAATTATCTTATTCGTATAATATTTAATTGAATACAAAGAAAGTTTATTGAGTTAATATCGGTTAGATGTCTTGTGATTAAATTCTATTATGAACTAATAATATGTATATATTTTTCAATAATATTTAATAAAAAAAAAAACTGTCTGAATGTTTTGGAATGCTTCTGTTAATGTCCTTTGTTTTTTATCATCAAACGTTAAATAAAAATGAAAAAAAAAAGGTGTCAGTCTGTGAGAAAACATCTATTGATATTTAGCAACATAATAAGGAAAATTGAAACTATCGGATCAGATAAAAGAGAAAAGACGATCAGTTTTAGTAACAATAATAACAGTTTAATCTTTGTGTAAACTATATTGACACTCTACAGATATGAAAAGTATATATAGGATTTATCCTAATCGATTTGAACCAATCAATTTTATTCTATGTTTCAACTCTTTTTTTTTATCCAACTTATACAGACTTCATTAATTAATTTGTTTTTGTTTTAATTTTAAGTCAAAATTTCTGCCTTAAGAGAATTTAGTGATTGATATCGATAAAGATACATCTGTGTTCAATAAATGTGAACGTCTTATAACAATCAGATACTAATGAATAAGATAGTGGTACTAATGATTGTATGTCAACAGGATCACGATAAAAAAAAACAATAACAGAAACAATGGAAATCATATTAAAAGCTCATTTATTGGTAGTAATATAGAAAATAATGCGTCAACTTCCTTAAACTGAACAGTTTCATATAGTGAACGCTTTGTAAACGGTCCCGTCAGTGTTAAGGTTTTATTGTATCATAAAAACATTAAAATATCATATTTCATCTTATAGATATAATTGTGTTTTTGAATCGGCAGGTAGTAGTAGGAATAATAATCGAATTGACATGATCAATCATAATGAAGATTTCAAACCTGTTTAAATGAGACTAAAACTTCGATGAATTTATATTCAGTTTTTGTTGTATTATGCGTCTCTTGCTTAATCTTTCAAGTTTGTTTCTTTTCTTCCTTGAAATAGATTGATGTATTTTTCTTATCTCAATATCATTGTCCATATGCTGCTTCGCTCAATTTGGATTTCTTTTATGTATATTGATATTAGTCGATGACAGACGGAAAAGGTCACGTTATAACAACTCGTTCTTAATAAACACGAAATGAATGTCTATAGCAAGAAGTGTTATGCCGCTTAGGCCTATTTGATCTTGCATCATTTTTTTTTGGAAACATCATTCTTTAAAAAATGCCTGAGGTTTACAAATGAGATGACCTCATTAGTGTTATAGTACTTACATGAATTGATGATCAGATGTGTTGTTTATACTACAGGAACAATCACATTTCGATATCTTTTTGCATTCGGGAGTTATTAGAAAATAGAAAATTAGAAAAGTTTTCTAAATTCAATGTGCTCGTATGCAAAAAGTCAATTGGGTAAAGTTTGAAATATCGATATATTTAAAATACAAATATAATTTCATTCTGATATACAAACATACAAAAACATTTGTATGTCTGAATTTTGTCTCCTTATATCATGTTAATGGTTCAATTTGATGTTCTCGAATTGAATTTTGTTTGTTTCTCTATAGAACTATACAATACGAAGTCAAAAGGAAGATTCGTAGACGACTCTAGTTTTTAATATACATAAGATAAATAACTATGTTTACATAAAACAAGAAGCTGTTATTTGGCTTGAACACTCAAAATGTTATAATAGAAAACGTGTACTTTTTAAATATAGGTTCATCATAGTTGCCTGCTTGTTTATCTGCCTGGCAAGCCACTAGGCCAGAGATAATTCTATCATGGCTCTTACGGTTTTGAAATCAAGTGTTGACACATTGCCTTATTGTTAGAGTATACTTCCACAACTTGATAAATATTTTATTTGTGTCAATAATTTTTGACAGAAAATGATACGAAGTTAAAAGTAGCTATTTGGAAGTCGACTTTACTCGATTCCTATCATGTTTCGGCCGTACTTCATGTGCTTTGGTATTTATCTTTATTTTCAATAAAAAAAAATCTCAGAAGTGGGACTAGGCGTTTCTTCTAGGATGACCTAGGCCCAGTCAAGAGTTTCACGACAGGTAGAAGATAAATAAGCATTTTGTTATCTCCTTTCAAGAAAGTAAGCGAAATGTTATTTAGAATTGTCTTTATTATGAGAGAAAATAAACTATAAAGCGTAATGTAAGGTAAAATTATGTTACTATATCTTTGTGATTATCGTGAAGAATATTAAGCATTGCATTCATCTAAGATTTATTTCAAACATACGCTCTTCGATGAGAAATATCAAATCATTAAGATGACTGTTATTCATAGAACTTCATGTTGAAAATACTTCTACATGTAACTTGTAATATCAGTTTTGTTTTAAGAGCTATCGTTGTGTTTATTATCTCGTTAATGTGATCAGAAAACTATCTTGAAAATATGAATACTAGAAACTTTCTAGGATGGGCTGAGTCCGATCACGGCATGAGTCATCAATTTTATATCAAAACAATGGCATTTTTGGATGATGAATTAGAAATGATTTGTAATCAAAATCATAAATTTAATTTGATACAAATCTATATTTTAATCAATTTTAATGTTCATTTCATTGTTTTTAGTTCTAAAAAATGTATTATATATTTAGTATCTTTCAAAGAAGAACGTATAAAAGTTTTCAAAATTGAATTTGTTCTCGCTTCATTTATTCTCTACAATGAAATTTGTATGAATCATCAAATCAATATCGAACTAGAAATCTATTCATTGATATAGATTAATTATGATACTAAATTCTTTTGATCAACTAAAATCAAGAAATTAGTCTTAGTGGCATCCGACATTTACATCATTCTGTTATATTATTGTTAAAATACCACTATGTAATATAGTACCATCCTTTGCGTAAAACTCATCTTTCCGGCGAATATATCTTCTGATTTAATATATTTTTATTTCAATTACTTTTTCTATTATTTTCATCAAATCCAGATGTCGCTTAAATAAACACATTCGACATTAATTCATATTGCTTTATGTCATTTGCAAATGCACTTTTTAACTAATTTGCATCTCATTGCTTGTCATAAGTACTTTTCAAACATCGAACTAGAGTAGCGCTACAACCATTGCTTCTCATAAAGTGACTGTTGTTCTTTATCGTTTAATGTATTCTTCATATGTCATTCATGCTGCGTAATCATTACAACGCAAAAGAAAAAAAAAATGCTCTGTCATTTCTTGAACTATAAAACTTCTTTTTTTGTAATGATTACAACGTAAGAAATATACAGGTGATGCTTTATCTAATCTCTTCCATAAGAACAAGATATAAAGAAATCAATTGTAAAGAGATACATGAATTATGAAAAATTACACGTATCAAACTTTTTATTTTTTAAATATTTCTTATGTTATTTTAGAATTCAAAATCGAATGGCCAATCTTAAATCCATTCCAACAACAATAACATGTAATAATGATAAGGATAATAAAATATCTGCATTAAATGATAAACAAATTCGTTATGAATTATGTGCAATTAATGATTTAAATAATGGACAAATGAAAGAATTTGAAATAAAAACATCACTTGTTAATACAAGTATATTACTTATTAGGCAGAATAATAGATTTTATGCTTATTCAAGTAAATGTTGTCATTATAAATTACCATTAGTTAAAGGTTTGATGAAGAATTTTTCTTTATGTTATATTCATATAAAACTTTTAATCGAAATTGATTAATTACTAGGTGTATTAATTAATAATCATCTTCGTTGTTTTGCACATGGTGCTTGTTTTCGTGTTGATACAGGTGATATTGAAGATCATCCAGGACATGGGAATTTACCAAGTATGATTTGAATTTACTTTTATTTTTTATTAATTCTAAGTTTATATGTTATTAGAATATGATGTAGAAATCGTTGATAATCAGATTATTTTAGTCGCAAAAATACAAGATCTGGAAAAACTTGAACGTACAAAAATACCTGATAATCTCATTACTGAAGCAAAACCAGTAGTAGCTATTATTGGAGCTGGAGCAGGTAAATATTTTTATAATCAGAGTAGTAGCCCGATATCTTTCCTATAACTAATAATAGCTGTTTCGTTAGATGGACGACTAGTCTGACGCAGAGTTCTTGCGCACAATTGCTTGAGCTCCACATAGATACTAACTAACTACAAGAGCAGGTGTATATCACAAACGTAGTCAACGTGCTATAAGACTGGTGATCCAAGACTCATTCCATCAATGGTAATACTGAGTTCAACCCATGGTGATCGTCTTATAATCAAAAGGAAAGCGCTTCGGATATAACAAAGATATATATATTGAAAATAAGAACATCATACTATGTTCGTACTATCTTTGAGTCAAGTTAAAGTAATGTAAAACACTTAACATATGATATACAAGTAGGAATGCGGATGTCGTTCTACCGAATAAAACAAATATTGACTGAATGAATGAGAGCTTTCACAATCATTGCTATTGATTAATAGAAATAAGAAATATGTAGTTCGAGTGTTGTCTCAGTCAGAAAAAAATTCTTAGTTCTGATTTCGCACTTAGTTAATACATATCCTTGCATTACCAAAAGTCATAGACTTTCAATTGGGAAAAATATTTTGAGACACTGATATGTTATTTTGATAAACATTCGTCATCTAATGAAATAATTATATTATTTTAGGAGGATTTACATGTGCTGATATGCTTCGTCAAAATGGTTTTCGTGGTCGTATTATTTTATTTACAAGTGAAGGAACACTGCCTTATGATCGTGTGAGCTTTTTTTTTCTCTTATAAACCATTAGAAAAAAAAAATAAAAATAAAGTATTGAATAATTTTTAAGGTTCAATTATCGAAACAACCAACTAAAAATCTTCAAGATTTACTTCTACGTGATGAAATTTATTTTAAAAAAGCTCAAATTGATTTATTACTTCATACAGAAGTGACAAATATTAATTGGACTGCCAAAAACTTAACATATAAAACATTAAATAATCAAATAAAATTTCTTACATATGATTATTTAGTATTAGCTACTGGTTTACGACCAAGAAAATTACCTTCATCATTATCAGGATATAATCTTCATAATATATTTTATTTACGATCATTAGAAGATGCCAGAAATCTCGTTAGTAAGTTATCATAGAATTCAAAAAAACAAAAAGAAATATATGTTCTCATAAAATAGATACAGTAAAATTATCGGATACAAAAAATATTGTTATTATTGGTGATTCATTTATTGCATTAGAATTATGTGGATGGTTAACAACTGGTTTAAATGAAAAGAAAAGTATTTCAGTTGTTATGCGTTCAAAAATTCCAATGGCACGTACGTAAGAAAACAAAAAAAAAAGATAAAGAATTTATTAAAATTAATCATTAATTGTAAAGGTATTTTTGGTAAACGAATTGGTCGAGCTTTACAAAAAATTCATGAAAACAATGGTGCAAAATTTTATTCACAAGCTAATGTGATAAAATTAATAGTTCGTTATTTTATTTAAGAGATTATTTAGTTCAAAAAGAAAAATTTTCATGTTTGAATATAGGATGAAAATAATCATGTTAAATCTATTCAATTATCAACAGGTGAATTAATTTCATGTGATTTAATTATTGTTGCAATAGGTAGTGAAATATGTAATGAATTATATAAAAATTCTCCTATTGAAATGACTCATGATGGATTTATTAAAGTTAATCAACGTCTTGAAACATCAATGGAACATGTTTTAGCTGTTGGTGATATAAGTAAATATCCATTGAAAGTATTCGATTTAGATAATATTAATTGTCAACATTGGCAAATGGCTTGTTCAACAGGACATCAAGCTGGTAAGCATTATATATTCTTATAATTGAAAAACAAAAAGAAATTTGCATTCGATGGAAAATACATGTTGATTTCCTGTTCTATTGTTTGTTTAGTGAAATTAGTTCAGCTAGTTTTTGATGCTCAGAATGAAAGAGGAATATGAAATAACTTAGATAAATGTGCTATTTTAGTAAATAATTGAAATGTAGATTAAGCAATTATTGTTTTATTTTCTGAAATAATCTTTTCAATTGATAATGTCGTCTGTTCTATAATTATGAGTATCAATGACGAAGATAAATGTGTAATGAAGAGTGAATTATAAAACTAATAAGAAAACGATTACAACAAGAAGAAAGAGAGAACATAGGTGACGATTAGTATCATCACGAGGAGAACGCTGAACCCTATCGAAGCTTTGTTGCTTCCTCGGACATCAGCTACAACCCTTTTCAACAGCGAGAGCACAGCCATCTGAGGTTACAACGTTTGTTTTTTTGCTATTTAATTTCATCGAGTGTAAAAAAAATAACCCCAATGAAAGATGTATATGTCATATTTTGCTTGAAATAGTACATATATGCTAACATTAAAGAAAAGAAAACGAACTCAGTATAACCAAAGAGTCAACTTGACTCTATTATTGTCTAATTAACAAAATGACTGAAAGCTGTCTAAAAATAAACACATAGACATAAAAACTATATCATTTTTCTATTGTATATTTCTTTCATATCAACACAAACGTCTTTTTGATATCTGTAATAAATATCATAGATTAGTTTGTTCTATGTATATAATAATTTTTCATATATATATATATAATTGATCAAAATAATGATGAAAGAATTTATTCTTATGAGTAAATATATACATTCTATATATTCATGAATTTTACTTCACTTATTAATATAACATTGAATCATGTAAAATATCATAGTACACTATATTTTTTAATCCAAATGTTTTTTTTGAAAATGTCTCTCTCGAGCATTTGTCCTAAATCCCTAACATTAAAATATCAGTAGTCATTTGTACATTTACATTTAGTTATATCATTTGTCATACATGACAAAAAAAAAAATAACGTATATAATTAACATATTATTTTCTTTTCTAATCTAGCTGATACGATTTTACATTATTATCTTGGTCAAAAACAAGATGATTCTTATTCATTAAAAACTGATTTTTATACAGTACCAATATTTTGGACAACACAAAATAATAAAATAACAATACGTTATGCTGGATATACAAATGATCCTGAAAATGTTATAATACATGGTGATCTTGATAATGAATTTAAATTTATTGCATATTATATTATTGATGATTATGTTCGAGCTGTTGCTCAATCAAAATATGAACCATTATCATCTGAAATAGCTGAAATTTTTTATCATAAACAAGATATTCGACGTGAAGATATTGAAAATGATATGTATGGTTATAGAAAATATCTGAATAAAATATAATATCTCAGCTTATAATACAAATATTTTTAATATTTTAGTTTTTATTTATCAATATATGACAGTTTTCTTTTCTTGCTTAAATAATAAATTGCTTTTCACTAAATCAATAGTAGTATTTTTTTTTCTCACATTGGACATATGTTGAAGATATTGGAATGCTTGAGAGTTCATTCAGTCATTTAAAAATCATTGTAGCTTATTGTTTTATGTTATATATATCATTCGATGCAATTTAAGGGTACCTCTTCCCTCTTTTTTTTTAACCAAAAAATCGATTTCGATCTGGGTATAAGGTATGATAGTTCCAGGTGTCATGAGCAATTAGAAACATCATTCGATCCTAAATAGTTTACTATTAAAAAGTTATGGAACTTAAAAAATTTATTTTTCATAGAAATTCTAATGAAATTTTTTTCTTTTACTTAGCGTAACGCAAAATACAAGTTTTCTCAATCGGGCCTAGTTACAACTTCCCTTCAACTGTCTTCGGTCAGACTGAAATTTCTACTACAGATACTTGAAAGTATTCTCTGGATGTAAAATCGATCGGTTTTGTTTTTGACCTTCTTATTCGGATTTATAGGATTCTGAACGTCAGTACTACTGCTTTGGATTCGAACCTTTTTTGTATTTCTCTCATAAAAAACAAAGAAAGCGAGAGATTTTTTTAAAAAGTTTAAAATATCTCTGAGATATAATCTAAGGTATCTCTAAAAAAAAATTCAGCTCGATTGGAACAAGTTAACTGCGGATCACAAGCAGGCCCGATTTAATCCTATGAAGAGGTATGATTTTTCCTAAAAAATTGCAAAAACCTTGTTTAAAATTTTTTTCCTCGAACACATGTCTCCTTATCCTAGATGCTCTATCTGTAGTAAGAATTTCAGAGGGATTGGTTATACCCTCTTAGAAAACTAAAAGAGGGGAGATGCTCTTAATGTGCTGACTTTGAATGTTCAAAGTTAGAAAAATCAAGGTTTCTTGAAAATCCATTGAATAGTCCAGGAATTAAAGAGAGTAGGCAAAGTTTAGAAGTTGTACTAACTATTCGGATGATATTGAAGAAAAAAATTTTTTTTATCAGATGTGAATTTTTCCGGTGACATTACGAGTTTTTGAGAGTTGTAACAAAATTGTTTATATTATTAGATAGACTACATTTAAATGTTGAAAAAACATGATTTTGATTCTGTTATGATTCACACTATGTTTCTCTCCGTTAAAAATCAATTTTGGGCTAGATATCATCACAAATATCTCATTTGATAAGCTAAAATTCTCTCTGAATTTTCATTCTATATATTTAATTTGTTTTTCTGTTTGAAAGAGTTTAGTATATTTTTCAAGCAGATGGTGACAGCAAAATAATAGAATCGTATCATTTATGAAAGATCCGATTTCGAATCACATTCCCATATATTATAACAAATACCTATTTTAAGGAAACTTCTTCTCAAAAATCTAATTTCAACAGAGTACATGAGATATTAATGAAACTTTGCATAGATGTTCGACTTATGAAAATATATTAATAAAGATAGGAAATTCATGCCTCTGTACCTTATCGTTCAGCAGATTTCCAGAAACCAAGCTGCAAAACTCAACTAGCTTTTACTCGAAAGAGAACTCATTTTTATCGCTTTGTTTTTAATTTTTTTTGTTTTGTTTCATTTTGTTTTTTTGGATCATTGAAACTCCAAAAGTCTGGAAAATTAAAAAAAATCTATATACAACTTTCTAGAGTGGAGTATATTGAGAAAAGCATAAACGAAGTTTTTCTCTTATATATTAAGTTCTAATGGAAGTAGAGCATAAATTTATTACATGTCAACCGAAACGCTTATCTATATAAATTAGATTATCTTTGTATGAGATGCATCGCTACCTAGTATTGCCTTTATATTTGTTATATCATTCAACAATGTAATAAAGATAGAAGAGTTCGGGGAGGATCTCAAAAATGTATCCTTAAGATACATACGAAAAAATATTTGTTTATTTTACCTCTACAATAAAAAAAGCTGATCTCCAAGAATCAAAACTATTCTTATCAATTCATACACTAGGCTACACGTACATATCCATTTGATATGAGTAACTTAGTAACATCTGAACCTTTCTTATAATACTCCTTGCTGTATATATATATATATCGATTCTATTTCCTGCTATTATAAAAAAAAGAGAGATGTTTCTATACGTATTGCTCATATTTTTATAAAGTATGACGAGTCGTTAATTTGAGTTTAAATATATAAAAATGTATTTCAGATGTAAGATTTTCTGTCAAGATATAAACTTAAGAGGAAACAGAATGAAGATAACGTCCGAACAATATACATTATCATCAATTTACGAATGCACAATACAGCTGTCGTGGTATTCAAATTGTTGAATGACGTTTGATTCGAGACATGTAGAACGCAAAAAAAAAAGCAAATGGGTTATATGCTCTTTTCAGTAACTTATCATAGGTGGAGTGCAAAATATACAAGGTTATAGCGATAATAACGTAAGGACATTTTTTTATATGCTTAATATTGTTTTATTTCTATCCAACTACTGACTAAATTAGTATTTTTCTTTTTTTGATAAGTTTAATTTCTAAAGTTATGAACTAAATATTTTCTTGTAATCAAAATTAGAACATTGATGTATTAAATCTTATTTGTTCCTATCAATTAGTGACATCTATAATGGAAAATTTAGAATTTTCTAAAAATTTCCTATTATTATTAAAAAGAATTGTTTTTCTTTGATTTTAATTTAAATATTTATAATTGTTATTTTTTTTTGAAAGGCTTAATATCAATCTCATGGCAGTCTAGTACACAAAGAACGGAAAAAAAAACACGTCCGTAATTGTTCGACTTATATGTTGATTGTTTACAAGTTTTTTGGTCATTGTTTATTATAGTGTATTCGTGTGTATTTTCTAAGAGGCAACTCGTCGCGCGTCGTCGCCGTCGTCGCCCCGTTTTCTATTGTTCATAGTGTACATAGGCCTTGTCTATCTTTTCCCGTTTCCGTGTGTATTCTTCTTTGGCATTACATACCTGTGTACTTATGTAAAAAAAAGAAAAAAAAACAAGAATATCATCAAGCGTAATAAACCGGCTGATTTATTATTGTGTTTTTTTTTTTTTGTTTAATTATTAGTGTTTGTTTATATTCATATAGTAAGTTATGTCATAATCAAGTTTACAAAAAAGAAAACTATACATTTTTTTTTTTGTTACATAGTTCACATATGTGGCCATCACAGGGTACCAATGATTATACAACCAATGGTGAGAATAAAAAAAAGACTTGTATATGAATTTTGTGAAAAAAAAAATTTTTTGTTTTAGAACGATCAGCACCGATTAATATGCCAAATCGGCAATCGGATATAACATCAGGCTATGCTGATCCACATGGTGTAGTTTTTTCACCGAAATCAACCGATCCAGCTAATCTTGGAATTAATATGTGTATTAATATATTAGAAGGAGATAATTCACCACGTGCAAAAGAGATGGCAATTAAAGATGTTACTCAACATATACAAAATATGAAGATTTATGTAAGTGAAAGAAATCAATTGTAGATAGTTCAATGGTTAAAAGTTCATATTGTATGGGTTCGATACTGTATTGTATCAATGGCTATCGTCAGGCGTTACCATTGTTTATATTTTCAATCATAACAGTGGTGTTATCGATTAGCCTAGATAAAAATAAAAATAGTTGATTGTTTTCGATTAATATTATGATAAATATATTTATCTTTTCGACTATTCTAACATATGTATATATATATATATATATTTTTTTTTTTTGTTAATTTAGACTGACAGTGATAATAATAAAAAAGCCGTTGATAATTCAACTGTTTATGATGTTAAATCTGACGATAAAATCAATGAAGCAGAATTAAATCGTAAACAAACACCACGTTCATCACCAGGTCATGTTAATAATGATTTAACAAATAGTACTAATAATGAAAATCTTCCATTAACAAATCCAATTGGTTCTAATGATGATACAAATGATGGTTTAATAACACAATCACATCTAATGATGAATGGTGCACCTACAGCATCAGTACCTATACCATTTCAACGAATGCAAACTAATAATCAACAACAACAAATGTTACTCTATCCACAACAACAAGCGTAAGTTACGAAAAAATGTTGGTTAGAAGTTCTTCTTACGAAAAAAATTTTTTTTTTTTTTTTGAAATTTAGTTATCCACCACAATATCATATTGTTTCTCAACAACAGCAACCGACTCATTATGATATGAATCCATCAACAACAAATTTTCAAACATTTGATTATACTCTAATTCAACCTCAATCGTAAGTTATATTACTTGCTTGAGAATGAGATTCTTTGAGTTCGAGCAACGCGAATTCGCTAAAAAAAGATATCCTATGTTATGAAAATCGTTCAAGCATTACATCCTAATCGAACAATCGTTTTTGATGAATAATGTAGAGTGCATTTTTTTAATATAAACTGAAACAAAAAAAAATGTTAATCTCCATTTGACTACTTATATCAACTTGAGTTTATTCGGGGGGAAATAAACAATTGTTTGCATATGATTCAAAGAATAAAAAGGAAGATATCTAGATATAAATTTTAGGATCTATTTGACGGATTAAAAAGCCAGTGACGATTTCATTTGACTTATATTTTATTATTTTCACGAAAACAAATTCAATAGCTAATTGAAACTGATATCACAGATTAATACAAGGGTGTCAGGCTGGAAAAAAGTAATCTGTTAGTAGTTCTCACTCTGACTTACACAGTACGATATTTTGCCTTTGCGCATTACATCAACAGCAGCTCAAGTAAATTCAAGAAGAGATCATCTTCCGTAATGTTATAGGCTCTTCCTTCTATGTGGATTTTCGAATTTATGAGAACTCTTCAAAATATGTTAAATTATTATAATTTTTTTAATTTTATTTAAAAAGATTTGAAAGTCAATCAATAATGACAGCATTCAATCCACAAGCAAATGGAAATAATCAACAAGATCCACAATTAGCTAATTTAGCTCAAACACCATTGATGTCATGGTTATCAAATACAATGGCTACACAACAACAAACAGCTAATCAACAATCACCATATGGATCATCAAATCAATATATTATAAATAGTAATCAGGATAATTATTTACAACAATTACAAAATTTTCATCAATCACCAGCAACATTACCATCATTACTTGGTCAACCGCAATATTGGTCAGCATTACCAACAACTCTTGTTTTTCCAGCACCACCACAATCTATGTTAGCACAACAACAACAAACAACAACTAATGAACAACAATCACCACAATCAAAAACAAATAATAATAATAATCATCGTCCATTAACACCAACAAATTCAAATGATATATTAAGTACATCACAATCTAATCAACAAGCACAACAATATATGAATATGCCACGTACAACACAAACACCAGGTAATAAAATAAAATAAAAATAAAGAATTTTTATTTCAAATAAATTTTTAGTTAATTTTCCATTTTTTGCTGCTGCTTCACCAACATTTCTTGATCCAAGTCTTATGATGTCAAATACACGACAACCAACTGGATCACCAGGACTTCGTATGTATCCACAACAAATACCAATACCAGGTATTTTATTTCAACATCAAAATCATATCTCTTGTATACATATGTATATATATATATATATATATCTTTTAGTTAATGCAAATAATCAAGGTGGTTTATATGGTAGTCCAGTAGCAAGTTCACTTTCAAGTTCATTCAATGGTATATTGTTTATTTTTTAAATTCATGAGACAAAATAGAACATTCACACCTTTTATTCTTTAGTAGATCTATTCTTTTACAAAGATACATGCGAAAAAAAATATTGATCCTTTCAATTGTCTACGGATTTTTCGAGAAATTCTGAAGCAAAGATTTAAACTTTCGATTTGTTTCTAAGAACATTTTTCATACTTCGTCACATTTTACTTATATTCTTTGAACAAAATAATCTATGAACTTTATTGATATAAATTTCTCTCTCTCTCTCTAGATGTTTATACTGTTCCAACACAACGACGTGATGCACCATTACCTGATTTTTCTCGTCTTGTTACTGATCCTCGTTTATCAAAACCTATTCAACAACAACAACAAACACCATTATATCATGGTCAATTACCTGGTGGTTTACCTCCATCACCTGCATATAATAATTTAATGACTTCAATGACACCACCACCATCATCTAATACAGGTGCATTTGATGGAATGTTTAATACAAGATATTTTCCAACACAAAATCAACAAGGACCACCACAACAAGCTATGATTAATGGTAATGATGTATATACAGGACGTCGTAGTATTGGTGGTATTAGTGGCCCAATGCCTAATTATTATGCACAAAATGTTTTTGGTGGAACAGGAAATAATAATAATAATAATATACGTGGTAGTAATAATACAATGTCAAATTCAGGACGTGATTCTGTTATAACACGAAGTAAATTATTAGATGATTTTCGTAATAGTCGTATGCCAAATTTACAATTACGTGATGTTATTGGACATTTTGCTGAATTTTCAATGGATCAACATGGTTCTAGATTTATACAACAAAAACTTGAACGTGCAACAAATGCTGAAAAAGATATGGTTTTTAAAGAAATTATAAGCAATGCACCACAATTAATGACTGATGTTTTTGGCAATTATGTTATTCAAGTAAAAACAAAAAAAATACCATTATTTTTATGAAACACGATCTAATAGAGAGATGACTACAAAGATTTGATTCTGGAAGAGGATGTATGCAGATTTGTAGAGGGAAGACTTCCTCTATCTAATAGTACGTCTATTATCAAGTTCTGTTGTTTATCGAAATTTTTGATAGATGGCGTCACAGAACTTGATAATAGATGCACTATTAGCCCGAGGAAGTCTTCCCCTACAAACCTGCATACCAGACCTGTAAATGGGCCGTCCAACCCGGCCCAACGAAATATTTTGTCGGGCGGGGTCGGGAACGCTGTTGGACAAGGTCAGGTTACCCAGTCCCACGATTTTATCCTTTCTTGACATAAATTTTTTTGACATTTGACTCATCCCTGAGAGGGGATAGAGGAAAGTTTCCGCGCTACGTCCCTTCGATCGTCACTTTTTTCTAAAAGACGAAAAATATGCAATAGCTCTCCATTGAGAAAAAAAAATCTTTGTAAACAAAATTTTCTTCGGGTTCGGGATGTCCCTATTTCGAGGCCTGCTACATACATCCCCTTCCGGGATCAAATATAACCCTGAAACTTATATTCATCTTTGAATTCTCCATAGACATGACAGATATCTTAGCAACGAATCATTGCAGCTTGTGACAGACACATTAGAAACGACACATCATGGACGATCTTGTCTTCGCGCCACAGATCGTATCAGACACTAGTCGAAGGTCAATACAGACCGTGTTAGATGCCGTCGTAATGCTTTCCCCTATAACGTTTCGTAATAATAAATGATCTATTTTCCGAGGATTAAATAAAAAAGAAGAAATGTATTCCAAAATAGATAGATCATCGTATAGGAATTATGTTAACATTTTTGCATAATGAATTTCTTTTTTTTGTTTTTTTTTAGAAATTTTTTGAATTTGGTTCATCAGAACATAAAGCATATTTAGCTCATAGTATACGTGGTAATGTTTTATCACTTGCTTTACAAATGTATGGTTGTCGTGTTATACAAAAAGCTGTTGAAACTTTACAACCTGAATATCAAGTACAAATAGCAAGAGAATTAGAAGGAAGTATTGTTAAATGTATTGAAGATCAAAATGGAAATCATGTTATACAAAAATGTATTGAATGTTGTATAGGAGATGATATTGATTTTATAATACGTGATGTAACAAAACAAGTTTTTCAATTATCAGCACATCCATATGGTTGTCGTGTTATACAACGTATACTTGAAAATTGTAAAGAATCACAAACAAGACCTATACTTGATATATTACATAGTGAATTAGAAAATCTTGTTCAAGATCAATATGGTAGAAAAAATGAAAAGAAAGAAATAAAAATAAAATTTTGTTTTTTTGTTTTTCTATAGGAAATTATGTTATTCAACATGTATTAGAACATGGTAAAATTGAAGATCGAAGTCGTATTGTAAATGCTATTATGGGACGAGTACTTCATTTATCACAACATAAATTTGCAAGGTAAAAATAAAAGAGAAAAATCTTCTTTTTTTATATATTCGTTTAATGAGAAATATTGTTCTTATAGTAATGTAGTTGAAAAATGTGTTACTTATGCAACACGAGAAGAAAAACGACAACTTATTGATGAAGTTGTTTCATTTGGAGATGGGTAAGAAAAAACAAAAACAAAAATTTACATATATAATAATTAGAAAATTTTTTTGTTTTTGTTTTCATAATATTTTAGACCTAATTGTGCATTATTAACTATGATGAAAGATCAATTTGCTAATTATGTTGTACAAAAAGTAAGATTTTTTTGTCTATAAAAACAAGTATAGAATTTATTTCTTACTACATATTTCGATTCATTTATCTATAATGCGCATCAGAATAATTTTCTAATTGATAAAGAATTTACTTACGAGAAAACATTTTCAACTGATCAATTGCATTCTCATCAAAAACTAGTAGATTGCAAATTATCGATTATGCTAATTTTGAATATGATTGTGAGAAATTCTCTTACAGGTGTTTGCAAAAAAAACTTGCACAAGTTCTTTTACAGATATCATCTTCTATGTAAGTCTTGTTCGAATCATTTTATATTGTGGTGGATAGCCCACGAAGAGTACTATACTACAGCGTAATTTCATATCTCCTTTGTTTACGTTTAGAAGAAATATTAAACAAATATCTCTTTTTCTTGGACGTAACAAAATTATTTATAATTGAAATTTCAACATTTTTAACGGTTTTTAGGTACAATTTTTAATTCATTATTAGGATTTTTTTTGTCCAACGACGAATAGTATTTCGAAAACGTTGAAATGAAGTTTCATCAGTAATTATTGTATGTGTAAAATCATCATCTTTATGATCTTTAGCCCACTGGATACGTCGTTTTTTTTTTATCAACTATTAACATATGAGTAGTATGTGGTAAAACATTTCTATAACTATATTCGTGAAGATAACGACTTATTGTTGATGTAGATACTGATTTTTGGTACTTTTTCGATAAATTTTCTTGTATTTCTTTATCAGAAAGGAAAGAAATCACTCTTTTATATACTCAATGTATAGTATATCTATCAATGATTCATTGGTAGAAAAATGAACTGTCTAACTGCTTCTAACGACTAGAAAAACGTTTAAAAGAAATATTGAATTGTGTGTAAGCTCTTTTGCAAACACCTATAAGTCTTCATATGTTGGTTTCCTACACTTACGAATTTTTCACTTTGTTCTGTTCCGAGTATCGAATAGTCTGGAAAACAGTAACCTATTCTTTTTTTAAATAGTTCATGTTTTAACTAGAACACAAATCATTTCAGCAAATTGTTTGTTAATCTGGGAAAACTATCATGTGAAGACGTAAAAGAATGAGCATGGTCGATAACTTACAATTTACTAGCTTTCAAATAAGAAAGCAATTAGTTAGTTGAAGGCATTCACAGTTGAAAAAAACAAAGATAATTAAGATGGAATAATATTTTAAAATACTTTAAGATGATGTGAAATGTTTTTTTTGAGATATTTTGAAATTCATTTTATTTTAATTTATCTAATGAGACAATTATTAACCGTACATTTTGATGATTAACTTCCGGAATACTTCGACTAAAGTAATCTAAGGACATTTTATTCTTATTAAAAAAGAGAATGAATGAATAATAATCTTATTAGGTTTTACAACATAATAGTTGATGTTATGATGAGAATCATAGAAATTTTTTCACGTACGAACTGAATGACTTCTTTTTTTTTTTTTTTAAAAAAAAAAGAAATATTTTCTTTTATCAAACTACTCATCATCTAAATGGTTTTCTTAGAATACATTGACCTTATAAAATATTATTTCTATTCCCATGTGTATTTCTATACAATATGATGACGGAGAATCTCGTCAACAATATAATTAGCATTTAGATCTATTGGGAAATTTGTTTATATATTGAAATAATATATATTATTCATAAAATTTATAGAAAGTCACATCTGATTATACAAAGTTTGTCATTGTCTATTTTATTAGATAAAGCAAGTTTTCTAACATGAAATAGTCTTCAACTAGACTAGAAATTTGTATGTAAATCACGTCTCACTAAATGGAAGGTTCTTTTTTCTGTGAACATGCAACAGTGACATTATTATTTTCATGCATATTAATAGTCTTGAATGTCAATATAGAGTTATAAAACTTGCTAGTTTATCTTTTTTTCCCATGAGACTTTGGATTAAAATAAAAGATCATGGGACACGTTTTATCAAAAAGAAAATAGATTGCCATTGTTCACTAATACAAAAGTTATTATATTTGTAATTTTTTTCATCTTATGTTCATAGATGATTGATGTTGCAGAACCAGCTCAACGAAAACTTCTTTTACAAAAAGTTCGTCCACATATTCAATCACTTCGAAAATTTACATATGGTAAACATATAATAACAAAATTAGAAAAACATTTAAGTAAAAATTCCGATTTGGGTCCATTATTAACATCATCAACATCAAATTCAAATGGTTTGTCACATTATGACAACTAACATTTATTTGTTTTTTTTTTGTCTTTGCTTTTTTTTTTTTTCATACAAGCACTTTTCGTTTTTCTTTCTTTGTCTTCTATTATTCTGTAGCTAGATTTGTTTGTTTGTTTGTTTTTTGTGTCATTGCGTGACAGTGGTCGCTCTCATACTCGGTTTTGTTTTTTTCGTTGTTGTATATAGGCGGCTCAGGCAATGTGTTTTTGGTCTTGCTCGGCAACACTATGTGTTCTTTTTGGAACTTGTCTTTGCCTTATATACAGCGGTTTGATTTCTTCTTTTTTTTTTGTTTTGCTTAAAAACAAAAAATTCTTATGTACAGCTTTGTCGTCTAGCACTTGTGTAATTGCTTCTCGTATACATAATATATAACTGTGTATGTTTGTGTGCGTACTTCACTTATTGTAAAGGTTTATGTTGTTACACACTTCCTCCTTATGCAAAAGATAAATAATAATATTCAAAGTTTGGAGGTTAGGATAAAAAACAAAGTGAGAGATGGTTTTTGTTTATTATAATACGCACACAATAGAGTCTATTTTTGTATACCTCCTTTTTTTGTTTTCTTTTTCTCTTGGTCTCAGGAAATTGTGTAATATTAATGGGAGGTGCCACACATTCATACTTGTCTTATGTCTTTATGCGTTTTGTTTTCTACCCAGGAACGATTGTTTCGTTTTTTCTTTTTTTCTTTTTTTTTTTTGTTTTGTTTTTCATTAAAACTAAATCTGTTTAACTTGTTCTGGCACACTTTATATTCATGTAGTGAACGACCTTTGTTTTTTTTTTCATTCTTCCTTTCTTGTTCTTTTGTTTGCTCGTTTTTTTCTTTTTTTCATTTGTTTACATCACCCAACTACTTGTACTACTAACGAAAAATAAATATACAGAAAAAAAAAGAAAAAAAAAAAAGAAGATTCTATTTTTTCCTTTTTCTGTTTTCTTTTGTGTTTTGGTATCGTCATCCAATGAACGACAAAACAAGAAATTCATTTATATGTTGTCGATAAGAAAACAAGAAAATTCAATGTTGATGCAGTGATTCTTATCTACTAGAATAGAAGATGAATGAGAGAGATACTTTCTTTTGTTTTTTGATGACGCTAGTAACTATGATTCTTTTCTTATTCATTAGTATGAATAATAATTAAGGAAAGAAAGGAAAAATGA